AACGAAACCGAAAAACACTTCCAGAGAAAGTATAAAGTAGCTCTACTGGAGGAAGTTTGAAGATAGTTCTAAGAGAAGTCTTCCAAGACTACTATTGATAAACTTCTGATGACAAGTTAAAGAAGCTTTCGGAAAAAAAAAAAATCGGATGCACATCCAAAGAAAGCCTGACAAATCTGAAACAAATTCCAGTTGTAACCATTTCAATGGAAAGCCAGAAGAAGCTCAGAAAAACCTTTCAATAATTGCCGAAAAAAAACCTAAGGCGATACTCTAAAAAAGTCTTAGTGTAAAACTTCAAAGGCACAAATGTCAGCTTCCACAAAACATACAAATTTGAAATCGCTATTCTCTGTTTGTAGTAGCACAGCAAACAAGAAAAAGGTAAACGAACGAAATTTCTGGGAGATACATTTGGTGGACTTCAAGGAGAAGTTGGGGAAAATTCCAGAAGAAAGAGATTTCTTGGGGATGTTAGCTTTGCACAACGTTACCTGAAGTTCCTTACATGTTTTAATGATCCTGAGTAATTTTTCCTAATTTTTATAAAACTTCGCTGAAGACCCAACAATGCGCATGAAATGCACTTCGAAATATCACATAATTCCTCGGAGCTCCTTGAAAGTTCTTGAAATTTCCGTAAAGTTTATTGGGCTGTTTTGAAGTCCTCTGATCTTCCTCAAAGTACTGGGAACTTCCTTGATTATTATAAAACTACCAGAAAATCTTTAATCTTCTTTGAAGGTATCCGGACTTTCATGAAGGTTTCAGAACTTCTTAAGTGCTCTCACAATATTCTTGTAATAAATTCATGATCAGCATTGAAGCTCTCTTATCGTCTCGATTTTTTTAAATTTTTAAAAGTTCTCGAAACTTGCCTCTAACAATTTTCTTATATTCATATTACTTCTCTTAAGCTTCCAAAATTTTCATGAACCTTTCGATACTTTGCTCAAGTTTTCGGAAATTCTCCGAGCAATTCAGGCAATTTCATTTAAATCAATTGATCCTTTCTGATGTTCTCAGAGCTATGTTCTCTGAATGGCCCCGGAAAAATGGAATAGTCCTGAGAACCGTTAAATTTCCTTGAAGTGCTTTGCATTTGTGAAGTTCCCAAAATATTTTTGATGTTGCCATAGGTTTATTGGAGTTTCTTTTTTTTTTATTATGGTCACTTTAACACTCTTGGGTCTTTCGTGACTTGTCCGGGGGTGAGATTTGAACTCGTGACTTTGGCGTGAGAGGTAAGAATGTTAACCACTACGCCGGGGTCGCCCCTGTTTATTGGAGTTCTCTGGACTTTCCTGAAATTCCCGGCTTCTCGAATTTTAACAGAATTTAATGAAACTTTATTTAATTCATCGGAACTTACTCTGACAGATCTTTAAACTTACCCAAAAGTCTGAACTATTCTGAATATTCAGAACTTCTTAAAAATTCCTGCAGTTTTCCCGAAGGAAGAATGAAACCGCAATAAATCACTTTAAGCATTCCTGATGTTCCGGGGAAGTTGAAAAAGCAAACTGGCGGGAGAAGACGGAATAATCTTTCGAGCTAAGCCAGAAGAAACTTCCAAGCGAAGTCGAAATTTCTTTCCCGTAGAAATCGGTAAATTACTTACGGGGTAAGGTGAAACAAAATTCCAAGGGAAGATGGAATAAAATTTAGAAAGGTAAAAATTCAACATATTGATGGACTTAATTATTCACTGAATAAAAGTATTTCTTGATTCCCAGGAATTACCAGGATGATTCAGCAGTTGAATCTCAATTCCTGGGTAGCCAAAATCGGCGAGGAAATGGAAACATTAATCGAAAGAGTATCAGGCATAATACGGCACTAAAAATAAGAGATATTCAAAAAATTAAAGTCTCTCACAATGGTTCCCTCCAACAGTTCAGCGTGGACAGGCAATCATTTTGATTATTATAAAAAATCGGTATGAATCGGTATAAAATCTAAAAAATCGGTATTCTGAGAAACCATATCTGTGTATTGGTATAAAGTTCGAAAATCGGTATAAATACCGATAAATCGGTATATCTGGCAACGCTGATCCCAACACACAGTTTTAGCTACAGACTAGCTTATACAAGCAAAAATTAGCTGTATGAGCCAATTTTTGTATAAGCTAATCTGCAGCTAATTTTTTTTTGTTAGGATTTTATTATAGCTCAAATGAGATCATCATAATTTTGAGCCCAGGTATATTTTTCGCGAAATTTAAAAACATATGACCAAGATGTCTGAATTTGAAAATTGAGAAACGCTGCCTTAGACCATAATTTAATCATACCTTACTGGTACATCTGCTCTACCTTTGTTTGTGCGTCAATTTAACCTTCCAGCGCGACTGAGTATAAGATGACGAACATCTTAAGTTAAAGATTAAGAACTTCACGAGATAGAATTGCATCTAGCAGTATACTTTATATAGTGGAATTGAGTCACTATGGTACCAGAGATCAAAACATTAATAATTCAAACTAAACATTCCTGTCTTCGGCAAAGTTATTTAACCAGACAATACATGCCTGGCTGTAGACACTTTGATTCAAGTCGTTGCGTTTGAGTGTGGTCCAATTGTACGAAAATCTTAAATCAAACCAGATCAAAATTCAAGCTAATTGTGATATTTTGTGGAAGGGCAGTATTTTTTTACTCTAGTACCATTTGTTTGATTCCATAGATTTTTTCTCTCTTGACAATACTTATCATCTGTAGTTTATCATAAATATTAGCGCGTCTACCTAATAGCAAGAACTGGAAACCGCTGTGCCACCTCAACATCGGTCATAAGTCACACAAATAGCATCGTATTTCATAAGAAATGAAACAATCTCCTGGTCTGGCACTGAGCCAGCCAAATCTTTGCGCTATAAAGTTGCTTCACGCAACCCTTTGACCGACGTACCCAGCCAGTAGTACATAGTTAGATCGAAAAATTCATTAGCAGAGAACCGATAGATAACAGAAAGACCAAGCACGAAAGAAACTTTCACACCCCGTAAACAAAAATTCGGCCAAATGTGTTGTTTCGTTTCAAAGCCATTATCAGCACGCATCCCTCCGCTTTCTCGTTCTCTCCCTCTCTCCGAACGAGAAAGGGGATGACCAAAAGATCATCTACAAACTGATGCACTATTGCCTCTACCCGCCCAGCCAAGCAGAATCACCCCATAACTGATACCCCTCCCCATCACAATGTGCTACACTGCGACAAAAGTTTCCAAGAAAATGGAATCCCAAAAGTAGCTATACACATATATTTCACCGTTATCCCTTTTGAACTATCCCATTTGACCATCCTGGTCTACCCCACCACTACTGTTCTGTGCATGCCTAGCCAACTCTCATCTGTACCTTGCTAGCCGAATTCATAATCGAGCAAAATGTTTTTCTATTTCATCCGAATGAGATCCGTTCCGAAAAGTACCAATAACAATAAAAATAATAATACCATCCTAACCACCACCACCACCAGTAGTAACCCGCCAGTAACAACAACCAGTGCTTTACGTTTCAAAACCATCCCTCCCCCTGCCTCCTTTTCGAGAAGAAAATGCCGAAATTTTCGATTATCTCCATCTCTCTCAGTCTGAATGCTCTCACCCCACGCAAAGAAAAAGTTTTCAGTTCCATTTTCACCGCCATTGCTTCTTATCGTTTAACTTGAACATAGTACAACTCTGATGGTTGCTTAAGTTTTTAGGAGTGTGCTATTATCATCTTTCGTTCCTACAAACTGTGTGTGTGTGTATGTATGTATTTGTTAACTATATATGTATAACGATGTCTATAAACCACATAACCAAGCATCCACAAACCCTTTGCGATCCACAACCACCGAAAATACGTCTAATTTCTATATCAGTCCACAATTCTCAGAAGGATGTACGATTTTTCTGTTTTGATATAAATGTAATTTGTTTCCGATGAGAAGCCGCTTCTACGTTCTTTTCAGTTTTACAACCCAGCGTAGGATGAGTTGTTACCTGCACACTTTTCCTAATTTTTGTTCCGTGTGCGTGTGTGTGTTAGCTTGCTTTTCCGAATCCAAGAAGATGAAGAAGATGATTAAAACCGACTTACGGGACGTCAAAGTCATACATCTTTCCAGGGAGACAGAAACCGAACACCGGAGAGGAGATCTCTGTAATTAAAATTAAAACATCCGCACACGGTAGAGCCTAGCGAAGAGATCCGATTCTCCGCTGCTGATTATTGCGAAAAGCTGTTAAAGAAGCGCTAATGAATCCAAATCCTTTTGATACCAGAGCGTGTCAACCTCGTCGACGATCGTGCGAAGATTCAGGTTGAAGAAGAGCAAAACCGATATGTGCAGGGAGCTGAAAATCTGTATTCGATAGCACAATTTCTTCCTAACGAGATTTGCTTCCCGGGCGCGCTGGATGACTTTGATAAATGAAGGGAAGCTCGTCGGTTTTAATTTTAATTATAGACTTGCCCTCGCCTTCTCTCTCCCGTCCCACGCTCGTTTGACTTGTTACCGGATTTTTCGTTAGTAACTGTACTAGTGTATTTTACTGCCTATGTAAAATTTGTATTTATGTATTGGTGTTTTTACGATATGTTTTCAAAGTTAACCAAATAAAGCAGTTAATATTAATTTTTAATTACCTATAAGAAAAACAAACCAAACTACCCATAACGTCATCCAATCTAGACAGCAAGTGCCCAATTTTGTAACCGTGATTTTTTCTTCTCTTCTTCTCTTTTTCCCCGCGTTGTGCAAAACAACCGCAATTACCAAACCCGAAACGAACACACAAATCGAAAATCCGTAAACACAAATGACGTCGTCGTCGTCGGAAAAAAAAACGCATCACCTTCGTCGCATCAACCGGTTTCGCTCTCGCAAAAAAAAAACAAACAAACCGAAATAATTGCTTAAAAAAAAATCAAACAAAAAATGCAAATCGAAAAATCCTCTAACCAACCAATCAAAACGAACCAAACCAAAATCGCAAAACCGATAGGATTTCACATTGGATTTCTACTTTCGACAATTTTGGACTGATCCACGTTTAGCTTACAGAAAAAGGCCGGGTGTAGAGACACTGTCAGTTGGATCTGAGTTCATTAAGAATATTTGGGTACCCGACACGTTTTTTGTAAACGAGAAACAATCATACTTTCATATAGCGACTACTAGTAATGAATTTATAAGAATACATCATTCTGGATCTATAACTAGAAGTATTCGGTAAGATTTTGTGTATCCTTTTAGTTTTTAAGCGTACTTACCTAATACGAACCAGAACAGCTGGTCAAGTCGAAATTCGCTCACAATTACTACACACATTCCCGTATTGCTTTTGTATGAGTTGAACATTTTTTTTATGGGTTTTTCCCCTTCCTCAAACATAAACACACACAAACCGAAGATTTCGATAGAAGTTCACACGATAGGTTAAAGTTACCTTTTTTGTTTTTGTGTGTTCCCTTCCCTCCCCCGTTAGAACTGGAAAGAGTTCCACCGAGTGATTGCCCATGAGCACTTGATTCATTGATGGACTGAACAGGATGGGAAGCTGACTTTAATGGTTTGTTATTAGAGTGGTACCAGGTTGGTTGAACTTGGTTGAAAATGGCGTACCAAGTATCGTACTCTTGGTACAACGACATCTATTGGTAAACGACTAAAATCCAGGATTGATACACCATATGTAGGGTGTCCCAGAAAGTATAAGCACAGTTTATTATTGGAATAAAACAACGTTATGATACTGAACTCAAATTTTTATTTAATATAAATGTTCTCTGAAGCATTCTCTTTCAATTGGATGAAAATAATCCGCAGATTCTTTAATCGTATGCCAAGGAACGAACTTTTTTTCTGACGCTGCATGACCTTCAGCAAAGATTTTTTGGCAGGCATGGAAAATCATTTACATTCATTTCGTGCATTCATTTCCATTCATTTCGTGCATTCATTTTCATTCATTTGCCTCTAACTTTTTTCATCAACAGCATTCTGCAAAATGATGTATAGAGCTTCAGTAGGTTTTGTTATTAGCTACAACTTTTGCCCATAACTCAAATCTGTAGCTATCTCTTATGCATCACGAATTAGAGCGGGCAGAACTTGTTACTGTTTTTTCAGTGAATGTAAAATACATTCACTGAAAAAGAGTAGTGGCTTCTGTTCGCTCTGGTTCGTCATACATAAGAGATACACATTTAAGTTGTTGACAAAAGTTGTAGCTAATAACAAAACCTACAAAAACTCTATACACCATTTTGCGGAATTCTGTTGATAAAAAAAGTTAGGGCAAATGAATGTAAATGAATGCACGAAACGAATGCAAATGATTTTCCATGCCTGTTCCTTGGCGATAATTTTGGCCACTTTTGTCCAGTCTTTTTCAAATTCTTCAATTGAATTCGTTGCCTTAAAGTGTTTCCGCAGATCAGTGTTGGAAAAATCAGAAATCAAATGATATTTTTCCGCTCTCATGCTGTTGAATTTGCACTACTTGCCAAACATTGCAATTCGATGTGCAAATCCCTTGGAAGAGATCATATCGAAGCACGATGAAATCAACAGCAAATCACTTTTTTTTTTTTTTTAACTCTTTATTTGTTCCAAATTCAAAATAAATGACATTTCATTTTTAACCTAGGTGCTCCAGTTACTGCAGTAACGTACCAGCCTTAATTGTTATGATATATATCTAAGTGTTTTTACATTGTTCATGTCTTGGCAATTAAGTATTTTAAACAGGATTTTTTTAACCTGCATGTCAGTATAACAATTGATATCTTAAAACTAAAAACTAAAACTAAATCTTATCTAAGTATATAGGGAATTAATCGTTGCAATTGAGGATTGCAACGATTTTTGCCTGAAATTATTAATTATTTTGTTGGACATTTGTTCTAAAGTCTCAACATTCGAAATTCTATGTACCTCGGTAGTACTGTACCAGGGAGGCAACTTCAAAATCATTTTCAGAACTTTGTTCTGAATCCTTTGAAGTGCTTTTTTCCTGGTAGTGCAGCAACTAGACCATATTGGCACAGCGTAAAGCATGGCCGGTCTAAAAACTTGTTTAAATATTAGAAGTTTATTCGTCAGGCAAAGTTTGGATTTCCTGTTTATAAGAGGATACAAACATTTAATATATTTGTTACTTTTGGCTTGAATGCCCTCAATGTGATCTTTAAAAGTTAATTTTTGGTCAAGTATTAATCCAAGATATTTCACTTGGTTTGACCAGGAAATTGGAACTCCGTTCATAGTGACTATGTGACTATTACTAGGTTTCAAAAAGGAAGCTCTAGGCTTATGTGGAAATATTATAAGTTGAGTTTTGGAAGCGTTTGGAGAAATCTTCCATTTTTGTAAATAAGAAGAGAAAATATCTAAACTTTTCTGCAGTCTGCTGCAAATAACACGAAGACTTCTTCCTTTAGCGGAAATGCCTGTGTCATCAGCGAACAAAGATTTGTGGCAACCCTGAGGCAAATCAGGGAGGTCCGAAGTGAAAATGTTATACAATATAGGCCCAATAATGCTACCCTGAGGAACTCCTGCTCTAACAGGTAGTCGATTAGATTTGGAATTTTGATAATTTACCTGCAGAGTTCTGTCAGTTAAATAATTTTGAACCAATTTCATAATATAAAGTGGAAAATTAAACTTTTTCAATTTAGCAATCAAACCTTCATGCCAAACACTGTCGAATGCTTTTTCTATGTCTAGAAGCGCAAATCCAGTTGAGTGGCCTTCAGATTTGTTTGAACGAATTAAATTGGTAACTCTTAAGAGTTGATGAGTAGTTGAATGCCCATGGCGAAATCCAAACTGCTCATCTGCAAAAATTGAGTTCGTATTGATGTGAAGCATCATTCTATTTAAAATTATCTTTTCAAAAAGTTAACTTATTGAAGAAAGCAATCTTATTGGACGGTAGCTAGAAGCTTCAGCTGGATTTTTACCCGGCTTCAAAATTGGAACAACTTTTGCATTTTTCCATTTATCAGGAAAGTATGCCAAATGGAAACATCTGTTAAATAATTTTACCAAGAAAGACAAGGTACTCTCTGGAAGTTTTTGATGAGGATTTAGAAAACTCCATCATCACCTGGAGCTTTCATATTTTGAAACTTTTTAGTTATAGATCTTACTTCGTCCAAATCAGTCCCCCAGGAATCATCAAAAATATTTTCCCGAGAGAAAATATTCAGAAAATCCCGAGCAACCTGATTCTCAATAGGACTAGTAAGACCCAAACTGAAATTATGGGAACTCTCGAATTGCTTAGCAAGTTTCTGAGCTTTTTCCAAATTTGTGATCAAAATTTTACCACCTTCTTTAAGCGCTGGAATAGGCTTTTGAGGTTTTTTCAAAATTTTTGTGAGTTTCCAAAAGGGTTTGGAACTCGGGTCTAATTTAGAAATATTATTTTCAAAAGTTTTGTTCCTCAGGGCAGAGAATCGCTTTTTAATTTGTTTTTGCAAATCCCGCCAGATAGCGTGTTCTTTGATATTGTCTCCTACGGACATTTTTAAGGCGGATCAAGAGCTGAAGATCGTCGTCTATTATAATTGAATCGAATTTAAGCTCGCATTTTGGTACTGAGGCAGCTCTTGCTGCACTTATAGAAGTAGTCAGAGATTCAAGAGCATAATTAATTTCATCTTTGGTTTGCAAAGGAATGTTTGGATCGAAGTTATATTCCATAAATGTTCGATACTGCTCCCAATCAGCTCTATGGTAATTGAAAGTAGAGCTGTTGGGATTACAAATTATTTCTTGGGATATTTCAAAAGTTACTGGAGGTGATCACAACCGAAGTCAGCATGGGTAACCAGTTGGCTACAAAGTTGACATGAATCAGTTAAGACCTAATCAATAGTGGAGGGATTTCTTGCAGAAGAAAAGCATGTTGGCCTGTTTGGATATTGAATAGTGTAATAACCTGCAGAACAATCATCAAACAGAATATTACCATTGGAATTGCTTTGAGCATTATTCCATGAGCGGTGTTTTGCATTAAAATCACCAATAATGAAGAATTTAGACCTATGATGGGTAAGTTTCTGGAGGTCACCCTTGAGAAAATTCTTTTTCTGGCCTACGCATTGGAATGGCAAATAGGCAGCTATAAACGTAAGTTGTCCAAATTTTGTTTCAACAGAAACTCCCAAAGTTTCAAAAACTTTGGTTTCAAATGAAGAAAGAATTTTATGTTTGATTCGTCTATGAACAATGATGGCAACGCCACCACAGGGTCTATCAAGACGATCATTTCTATAAATCAAGTAATTTGCGTCCTTCTTAACCTTATGGTCAGGTTTAAGGAACGTTTCAGTTATAACGGCAATATGCACGTTATGAACTCTCAAAAAGTTAAATAGCTCGTCTTCATTATCTTTAAGAGATCGAGCATTCCAATTTACAATATTTAATGCTTTAAAATCCATTACTGAATTTTAAAGTCATGACAATATTATTTGCAAATTTTACTCCAGTTTGAATAGCATCAAACATGGAGTAAGATTTAAGCATATCAGAAATCATGTCAATTAATGATTTTTGTAAAAATTCCATGTTAGGGGCAGTAATGCGTCCTAAGTCAAAATTGTCAAAATTTCCGTTAGAATTACTTTGGTTAGTATTTTGATTTCTACCCGCTGCAATAGCAGCATAGGTAGCTCCATTAACTCGCTGAACATTGTTAGCAGCGAGGGGAGTAGGTACAGATGAAAAATTTGAAGCAGAGGTGATATTTGTACCTATGGGTACGAATGTAGAATTTGTTCCTCGCTGACCGTTGTTAACACCAGAGGAATTTGTACCTGGTCGGAAACGTGGAGCGTTTCCTACCTGTCGGTTAGAACGAGATTGTAGGATCGCTTTGCGAGTCTTACATTCCCAAAAATTGGATTTGTGGTTTTCACCACAATTTGAACATTTAAATTTCTTAGGATCTTCCTTCACAGGACAGTCGTCCTTTGCGTGAGAGGAATCACCACAATTCATGCATTTAGCTGGCATGTAGCAATTTTTAGTTCCGTGACCCCATCCCTGGCACTTACGGCACTGAGTGAGGTTTTGGAAATTTCCTCCAGTCTTCCTGAAGTGTTCCCACTTCACTCGGACATGGAGCATAAGGCTAGCTTTTCCTAAGGCCTTAAGATTGTTTAGTTCACTAGACTTGAAGTGAACTAAATAAAAATCATTAGAAATCCCGTTGCGCGAATCGCCAGGACGGGATTTCATTTTCATTTTGATTACTTGGAGTGGCACAACTCCAAGTAATTTTGCCAGTTCATCTTTGATCTGATCCAGGGATTCACCACTGGGCAGTCCTTTCATGACAACCTTGAACACACGTTCAGTTTTGGTGTCGTAAGTAAAAAATTTGTGCTTCTTCTCAGTAAGATGCTTGAGAAGACATTTAAATCCGTCCAAGGTTTCAGCCAATACACGGCATTCACCCCGACGTCCAATTTGTAGAGAAAACAGCAAATCACTTCATTTTAGATTGTATGGCACATCGTTGATGATGTGCTGTGCTTGGAACTTGAAGTCAACCATACTGATATTAACAATCTATTACTCTAAGTTTAAATAATTTATCCTTGGATTTAATTTTTGCTGAAAATGGGATTTGATAAATATATAGCCTTGTTCAGACTGCAAGCCTTGTTATATGTATTCAGAATATGACCACATCATATTGCTACCCAGATCACATGTTTCCAAGTGATATTAAACAACATTGCCAGGCTTTTAGTAGAACAACGAGACATTGAGCAATAAATTTGATAAGTTTGACACTGTTTTGTAAACGAAATTATCTGAACCTTCAAAGTTCAAATAATAGACGCAGTTGTTCAACTCCCACAAAAAAAAAAAAAAACTTTGCTGAATACATAAATTTGCTGGCATATCGTTTTCATTGAGATATGAAGCATGTCAATTTCAATTTTGATCAGTCATAGGTCTTCTATATATTTACTGATAATTCGGAAGAAATGCTTATTAATTTGAAATGATAAAGGAATATTTGGACATCTCGATTTCAATTTCCGATCAGTCGATGGTCTTCGATATAATTTCTGATGATCTGGATGAATCCATGATCAACCTTGTAGGATGAGAGAATATTCAAAGGATTTAATTTCAATGTCTGATCATTTAAAGATCTTCTACATGATTCCTGATCAGCCGTATATTTTGAAACACATTCTTGTTGTCCGACGATTTTCAGAATATTGCCTGGTCAATTTGATGTGATAAGGGAATATTAAGATATCTCGATTTCAATTTCCGATCAGTCATAGGTCTTCTATATATTTACTGATAATTTGGAAAAATACCTGATTCATTTGATGTGATAAGAGAATATTTGGAGATCTCGATTTCAATCTCCAATCAGTCGTAGGTGTTCGATATAATTTATGTTAATTCGGAAAAATTCCTACTCAATCTGATATGATGAGAGATTATTCAATGGATTTCATTTCAATGTCTGATCATCTCAAGGTCTTCGTCATGATTTCTGATCAACCTTATATTTCCAAATCATTCTTTCTCACTGAAAGTTTTCACAATAATCCCTGATCTATTTGATGTAATAAGGGAACATTAAGAGATCTCGATTTTAATTTCCGATCAGTCATAGGTTTTCGACATAATTTCTGATTATTCGGAAGAATTCCCAATCAACCTGATATGTTGACCGATTATTCAAAGGATCTGATTTCAATATCTGATCATTTAAAGATCTTCGATATGATTCCTGATCAGCCTTCTATTTTGAAAATCATTCTTGCTGTCCGACGATTTTCAGAATATTTTCTGGTCAATTTGATGTGATAAGGGAATATTTAGATGTCTCGATTTCAATTTTCGATCAGTCATAGGTCTTCGATATAATTTCTGATAATTCTAGAGACATAACTGCACCTTAGAACATGTGATCCGGTTAGCAAAGGAACAAGAGAATATTCCTCCAATTAGGTGTTTCATGCTGCTTCTGACAGCACTCACCACCAGATGGTGAGCAGCCTTCAATCACATGGGCTGGTGGAAAATCGATTTGAGAATGTATGAAGAAATTCACTTTTAATATAGTTGAAGATGCTTATTTCATAGTTGAAGATGCTTATTTCTTCTTCTATTTTCACTTTTAATGATAAATATCAATAATGTCCGATACATTCTTTATACATAATGTCTTCTTTCTTCTTACTCGCATTTCAAGCTTATTGCTTACTGCATGCATATTAGCTTATTGCGGGCTCTCAAATTAGTTTTCTGAGAGCTTTCGATGCCAATTACCAATGCATGAATTTGTATATTTTGTGTGGCAAGCACAATGATACTTTATGCCCAGGGAAGTCGAGAAAATTTTTAACCCGAAAAATTCCCTCGACCGGACCGGGAATCGAACCCGCCGGCTCCGGCTTGGTAATACCGTGCCTTTACTGACTAGGCTATGAGGCCCCTTATACATAATGTCACTATTCCTAAAAAGAACAAAATGTAGAAATCATCCCACCGCTAGAAGCAAGGTTTGAAGAGCACTAGACGATTTTTCGAAAATCTTCATACCGCAAAACTGGTTTATCCATCACTGGCGGGGCGACATCTATCGGATTAGATGATGGAAACTATTACTCCATTGACGATTGCTTTTCTACTATGCCTGTGACGAATTTACACCAAAGTATGTGTATGTGTATGTGTGCTACAAAGTTTCCAAAATCATTTTCTTATGTCTACCATCATGTTGTGCATAGTCTGAAGAATCTTTCAGTATAAAAATATGCAATACTTGTTTCGGATATTTCCGAAAAAAACATAGCTGCAAGATTGCATTTCCTTGAGGAGAAATAGCCAGTAGTATCTAGCACCCAAATTCATATTCTGTATGGGTGGCAATGCCACTATCCCGGAAAAAAGCACCTTGTTGGGATTTGAATGCACCTTTCCTCCCAAATTTTAGACCATTAGAAAAATAAAATTCTTGGCAACAATCGCAAGGATTTTTTTTTACTGATGTTCGCTTTCCTTCACCGGAGTTTCGGAACGTTTCTTGGCACCAAATCACAGACAAACGGCTCGAAAAGTTTGAACGATGGCCTTAAGAGCTGCAAAGAGAAACTCTAGAGTGGTTTTTTTTTGAGAAAATTCAAAATGCGTTACGATAAATCTTAAAGGCAATACCAAGGAAAATCTCAGAGAAAACTTGTGAAGAGTTCTAAATTTTTAAGGGAATACCAGGGTGAATCTCAGAGAAAACTTGTGAAGAGTTCTAACGAGATTATTAGGGTTTTGGATCATAGCTTATTACTATATTAATATATAGCTTAACACTATATTCCAATTAATAGAAAAATATAGAAATATTAGTTGGCGTAAAGGGCACCGAAGTTGTTCAAGCAATGTGGCTACAATAAGGCTTGGAACTTAATTCAAATCTGTGATATAAGCAGAATAAATTATCTCAATATCAAAAAACGAACACAGTTTAGTTTACACAAAATGTGATGTAAGAATCACATAGTTGTTTTCCTAAATCTTTACGTAGAGTGATATTTTACCTGAGGCTAGTTCATCACTAAAAATATCTTATTTTGGCCAAACAGCACGTTTAACCGATAACGCTCATGCAATTCGCTAGCTAAAAGATCAAAGAACTAATTTAGAGGATTACGCACTATAATTAGATCATGTATTCCAGTTTGTGTACCACATCTCAACGAATAGTAAAAAAAGTCAGCTTCCATCGAATAAAAGAACTGTATAGCACCAGTGTTGCTTTCTATGACCCCGTCAAAATCGAATTCCACCCAATACCCTGGAAAGATTGCCCCTTTTCGTTGTCACATCCCATTCCCCCCTTGTAAGTGTTTTATTGTTTTACACAAACCGAAACTGTATCACCGAGCAGTATAGTTTTTCTGGTACACACCACCTGGCACCCACGTGCCGCGCAAGGTCCATCCCAAAGCTTTGCCAGCGTGTGCGTGTGTGTGCTATTAAAACTAGTAACAGTGTTGTTGTACCGATAATGTTACGTGTGGTCCGATCTACTTTGATGTGATCTTATCTATTCTCCAAACATATCAAAGAACACCCTATGCCCAGCCCATCATCTCCAGCCAGCTAATGAACTTACACACACACCCTCCAGCCTGTTTTCCTCCAGCATAACCCAATCTCTCTATCTATCTCTCTCTGTCTCTCATAAACCCCTCAAAACCCGGTTTAACCAAGACCTTTGAGTATCCAATCTTAGCCAACAAAGTACCACATGATATCTACGATTGTGACATTCCGTGTGGAAAACGGAAAACGCTCTGTGATGATCAGAAAAACTATGTTGTTTGCTTTTGTCCATTGTTGTATGAACCAACCCTTTGATTTGATTTAATTTCCGAACAAGAGTACCGCCGAAAACAGCGAAATCAAACAGCCAAAACATTGGATTCTATTGTAAGTACACGTTGTCTCATTATGCTTATTACTATTGCAGATTAACAATCACAGCATCATGTCCAATGAATTTACAATATTTTCCAATGGATAGACAATTATGTCATATAGAGATAGAAAGCTGTAAGTATCTACCGGAATTGTCACTAATTTGCCTTCACTCTAACTATAGCTATAGATAAGTTCCGAAATGACAAACGTCACTCGAAAAAGGTGCAATTCCACTCATATTCTCTCGATTTTTAAGATATTATAACAATTGTATGTAAGACCAAATGCGAATCTCGATACCTGTAAGAGAAAATCAAAAATACAACCAACTTAAATAAGGAAGATTCGCTTTGTAAACAGAAAAAAAAAAATCGAAATGAGGAGCACGATGGAACAAAATATGACATGTTTCACAGAAGTTTTCCTCCATCCCTCGAAGCGAGTGCAGCTTGCTGTCGTTTATCGGAAAACAGCGTGGAAAACACGCTGTATTTTTCTGTTTTTCTCTCTCTCTCTCAATTACACTTCATCATAATCTGTTTACGTGTTGTTATTTTTTTTTTTCATTTCGCCCCACTTGGAATGCTGTTCGGGACAAACCGGTTTCCGTTTAGCCCGCAAGAAAACGCAGCGGGGGTCCAAGGTCACCAAACCGATTCCTAGGGCATCCCGCTGCTGGAACAGATCCTTAGACAGCGTGGGCTAAATTCGGTTTGAAATCGGTTTTCCCAAACTCATTCCTCTCCCGTGTGAAAAGGTGAAATCTGTCCCTCGCTGTGATATTTATTTCTGCAAAAATATCCCTCAGCGAAGCGTCATTTTGCTAGCAATTTTTCCTCTTTCATCAACTTCCATTCGTTCAATTCATGCATGCCATTTTCCATAAAATACAAAACTCCGATTTCTTTACTCCCACCCTGGAACACGCCTTTAATCCCGTGGAGAAAGCTGGAAGATAAATCGCTTTTATTTGTTACACATACTTGCTCTCACACACTGACACACGCCCATCGGCGCCCAACTCGCAGCAGTCACACGAAATTGTAAACACTGTCAGAGAGCGATGGGGAAATGTGCGCCTAAATAGCCTCATCGGATTAGAAGATACTCATACAGACACACACACACTCACCAAAACCTACTTAGAGTCACATTTCTAAATCACTCCGCACGCCGCAGAAAAACACTCCACCCCCAAAAAAGGAAGCGCGTTTGTACTCTCCAGCCCAGCCACCCTAAAATATCACTTCCAATCAGTTTTCTTCATCCCACACACCACCCCGTCTCGTGGGGCGCTGCTTGAAAGCGCTCAACTGTTTTGTCAACTTTCCTCCGTTTCCGTTTTGCATTATTTTTTTCACTTTTAACTGTGTAAATGTATAAATCGTGTGCCTCCAAGTTGCGTGCGTGTGCTTAGACTTAGAAAAATACGAAGAAGTGGATTTGCGACCGCCCGTCGATCCGAGCCAGCAGAGGGAGGTGGAAGGAATGGGAAGACTTGCGTCGTTGACTTGTTTGAAATATGATCTTCGAGGTTCGCTTCGAATGGAGTCATTTGGTGGGAGATTGAGAGCTAAGTGGGTTCGATTTTGGGTGGTTAGTTGAAGTGGGAGGGGAGCTAAGTCGCTTAATAGATGTTTGTTAGAATTGATGGGTAATCAAATATGTGTTCATTCGTTTTTGACATCTCCTAGGGATAATGAAGGAGAGAAGGATTGGTAATTTCCAATTAATTCCACTACCTTAATTGATTTTCATTGACAGATACGTGGATTTTGTCTACGATGTGCAGACTTTCTGAGTGTGTTGTACTAATAATCGATTATTAGTACAATGCTTTGAAGAAGTATGCACATTGTAGAGGAATTACGCGTATCTGTCAAGGATAAGCAATTAAGGTAGTGGAATCATATGGAAATTACTAATACTCTCTTTCTTTATACAGGTATTCCACCATAGACACACATTCATCAGGTTCTCCAAGCAAGTTGTTCATAAGATTCACTAATATTTACATAATTTCAGAGAATTTTTTGACAATACCTTTTTGAACTTTAGATAATGTTATTTGACTTTTCAAAACCTCGTGATTGTATAAATCCCTGAGGATGGTGAAATACATCACCGAAACGTCGGAGAGTTGAGGTCAGGCATGGACAATCATTTGCATTCATTTCAAACATTCATTTACATTCATTTGCCTATAACTTTTTTCATCAACAACATTCCGCAAAATAATGTACAGAGCTTTTGTAGGATTTGTTATTAACTACAACTTTTGCTCATTACTCAAATCTGTATCTCTTATGCATCACGAACTAGAGCGGGCAGAACTTGTTACTGTTGTTCAGTGAATGTAAAATACATTCACTGAAAAACAGTAGTGGCTTCTGTTTGCTCTGGTTCGTCATGAATAAGAGAAACGGATTTGACTTGCAAAAAAAAAGTTGTAGCTAATAACAAAACCTACAAAAGCTCTATACATCATTTTGAGGAATGCTGTTGAAGAAAAAAGTTATAAGCAAATGAATGTCACTGAATGCACGAAATGAATGCAAATGATTTTCCATGCCTGGTTGAGGCAATACAACTTTTTGCTATACACCAGTCGCTAGCTCTCAAAAACATTAGTTGGATCTCTTAGAATACCTTTTGACGTTTCTAAGAGACCTCGATAGGATTTTTGACAATCTGATCACTACAATCTACGTGATTCCCAAGAATCTTCGTAGGTATGGATGGTAATTCTTGTCGTCATGGACATTTGTTCGTATCCTTGCTGTAATTGTCATGCAACTCTATTGGGGTTTAAAGGAATCCCTAACTCTTCTTCTTGGCTTGGAGTAAGCCATTTCAAATGGAACTTACTGCAATCACTTAGTAACTCTAGTAGAAACTTACATAAATAGCATCAATTTTAATAATAAAAAAGCCCTACGCAATCAAACGATCAGTGGTTACCAACGTATCCCAAAACAAGGCAGGTTTTATCATAGTTTTAAAGCATTCTTCTAGCCTAAATCATGGTCTTCAAGACATTACCAAAAAACCCAAATTATTGCTTGGGACGACGATCATATTTCATCTACGTCCAACGTTAATTTCAAAATGACCCACCCCTCGTTCGTCTCTCCCTTGGCCAAACAAATGCAGCGAATCTCGCAAATCCACTCTCTCCGAAAGCCACACCCGCCTACAGTCACCGCCAGATAAGAGATCAGCAAAGCTGTGCACCATCGAGGGATCCTGACCGATTCCTTCTAGAACCCGGCGTCCTGCTGTCCGCTGGGGTCCCACCAGAAAGCTTGTGTGTTTAAACATTTCATATTTTGCGCCATTCATTTTAGGTACTAATAAAAAAAAACATGATTTTCGCTGTTGTAAAAAAAACATCAAACCAATCCAGAAACCGATTCATTCCCCACCAAACAGGAGTGTACTAACTAGTGTTTATATAGAACCATATTTTTAGCAGCAAGGCTAATTTATCTTCGTACCCCCTTCAAAGCTTTGTTTTCCGATTGACGTGGCCTAAAGTATTTCAAACCAAACCAAATGGAAAATCCAACTGTGCCTTAGACCTTAGGTACCTTAGGAATAGGTACAATCACAAATCATACTTTAATCGCGGAACACACCCCTAGACTTTGTACAGGGATGGAAGTTTGATCAGGGTCTCACTTCTGTTTTTTTTTTATTAAATCACGCCGAAAGATCCGGCAAGCGAGTCCCGTTCAAGCTTCCACTTGAAAATCCGATTTAGAATAATAAAATAAAGCAAGCATATAGTTCACCAGTTGAAGCAGAACACAGAAATGCATACAACAAACATATTTATAAGCTCCCTTTTAAGGGAAAGATAGCCATAGGCGAAGCAAAGCAAGAAACAAGCACCTGTAAATCAAACCATTCTAGTGTAATTCATGTTTTAGCGTGTTGCTTTCAGTACTAGTTTCATTCGTTCAAGGTTTATTTTCGTTTTGGTTTCGGTTTAAAGTTTCTGTCTGTGCAGATTTTTTCGTTTTCCTGTTTTCGGTTTCTGTGTTGTGCCTTCATTTGTGAGTGTGTGACGAGTTTATTCGATGAAAACCATGAAAGAGTCCTCAGATAAGATGATCAACGCCAGCAGATTGCCTCTTTTTGGGGCGCCAATTTTTTTGGTTACCGATGGAATTCGTAAAACTTTTTTTTTTTTTATCTAAACAAAAGGTTTTTTTTTTAAAGCAAACATTAATTTACTAAATGGCCCCTGTTTGTTATTTTGAGTATCCTAACCAGCGAATTTTAACACCGACATAGCATTTTTGGTTAATTTTCCAACTTCATGCCTGACTTCCAAACACATGTGAAAGAAATTTACTGAACAACCTACAACAACCATTCACTTCTTTCGTTTGTTTGGTTTGTATCCTGATTACGTATTCGTTCCATGCCATTTTGTTTTCCAAATTTTGGTTTTCTTCCATATATAATATAATGGTTAATTATCGGTCGCCTTCTCTACTACAGCAACCGCAGAAGGTTGACTACGGCTAGTCTCAATGTCACCCATGGGTGGAATACTATCGCACACAACGTGTTATTCTTTCTGCTCTAAAACAACCAAAACAACCAAAACTACCAGCCAAAAAAAAAAGCAATGCAATCAAATGCCGACTAACCAAAAATATTCCCACCCACCAACTACTACCAGAAAAGAAGTAAGCAAACCAAACCAATACAAGCAAAGGAAAACCTGCGCGAAAAGTCAATACGAATCCCACTTTCTTTCTCATTCTCTTCTTTCTCTCTTTAACCACACATACACACACACTCCTCCTGCCTGGAACGAATTTCGCATTCAAGCAAACGTAAAGCTCACACACTCTTCCTCACAGACAGAACACAACCGCAGTCGAAAAATTCTCAGATCTATGACGCAAAATGCCTTTGTTCGGATACCAGAACAACAGTTGTTCACTATTGTTTTCAATGACCAGCATATGTGCTAGTGGCTAGTGTTACAAACATTTATTTTTGATGTGTGGCTATCGAATGCAGGGCTGAATGCACCCGATTTGGACTAGGGACGTATTGGATGAAAACCAAAAGAAGACGAGTAATTTGAATCTAGTCCAAATGTGGTACAGTCG